TTTCAGGCGGTCTGGGTCCCGTTGCCAGCTTTGCCGGTGGCTCTCCGTGATGGCGTAGCTGCTTATCGGAGATAACAGATGGGGAGATGTGGAACCTCTTGACCCTTTGGTCAGTCTAAATCAGTGCAACTTGTTCAGCGCGCTCGGCTGGCCGCGCAGACTTCTTTGGCGCAGAGGCTGATGATGAGGTCAGGGTATTAGAGGACTCTACATTTTTCTTGAACCTAAGGAAGAAACCCTTCCCGTGTCCCCTTTCCAGATGAACAGATGCTCTGTTGGGGTCTCCCCTTGCAGGGCTGCGCGGTGGCTCAGGATCTTGACTGTGGGGCTGGGACCTGTCGGTGTAACTGGTACCAGCCAAGAAGTGGCTGGCAAGGACTGGGGGTGTTTTTAGCAGAACCGCCTACCCCACAGCAGGGATGCAGGGCAGAGACGAGGTGGACGGCCATCCCTGGCAGCAGCGGGGAGAGACTCTGACCCTGGATCTGCCCGGCTGCGGTGCTCTTACTGGTCCGAGCTGGGTTTCAGCAGGGAAGTGGGGCCTCTCTGTGGTTTTTGGCTCTCTGAGGTGTTTCGTTTCAGCCTGGGGGAAGCGCCCGGCGTGTTGGCAGGGCTGCTCCTCCTCTGCAGTCCCCCCGCGTGAGTGGAAAGCAGAGAGCTGCGCCGAGGGCCACCCTGTCACTCGTTACCTGCGTGCTGCGGCATTTACGGCAGGTAGCCTTGGGCTGTGTTGGGCCAGAGAGTTCTCCTAGCTCTGCATCGCCTCTGCCACTTCCCAGCAAGCACTGGATATATATGCAGGAATGTTTGACTGTCTAAACAGCACTGGAAGATAGGGAGAAAAAAAACCCCAACGTTTTCTGGGTTGGTGAGTTAGATAAATATCCCAGAGTGCACATCCATCAACCAGCAAAGAAATGAACATGGGGAGCTCAGTATCAGGGACTGTGACTTGTATTTAACTTGGATTAACTATTCATTAACTTTTAGTTAATATCAGCAGTGCGCTGTCTCTCTCCCGCTGCTGTACAGCTCTGCAAATGCTTTCTGCAGCTCAAGGCAGGGTTGAACTAAGCTGAAGGGCAGGTCAGCGAGGTGAGGAAAGGGGAGTGGACAGGCTGAGGGGGGACACGCGGGACTCGCAGAGGAAGGACAAGGGGTGGAACAGCTGACGTAGGATGCTGCTTCATTTCTAGAGGTCGGTGGGCAACACATGGGAGCAGCGAGGTCAAGACATGGTGTGCTGAAAACAGGGACAAAGCATGGGTGGAATCAGGCAGAGTCTTGATGGAATTGGTGAAGTAAGGTGCTGGGGAGACAAAAAGGCCAAAGCTGTGTGTCAAAAAGGCATCGTGTAAATGCAGCAGCTCCTGCTGGAGATTCCTTTTTGCTTTTTCAGCTGGCAGGACCACCCTGACCCATCTCTTCGTGCGTTGCCTACTTTGTACGTGCCTGTTTTCTCCAAAAGTGCTTTGCCTCTGCGTATCCAGTACACTTGCTGCCTGGCAAAGGCAAACCTGACCTTGACACAAACGTGTGGTTCTCTTTTAGCAGCGTCGCCCGTAAGCTGAAAAACTGGCCAGCACAATGGGAAAAAAACAGAACAAGAAGAAAGTGGAAGAGGTCTTAGAGGAAGAGGAGGAGGAGTATGTGGTGGAGAAGGTCCTGGATCGGCGAGTGGTAAAGGGCAAAGTGGAATACCTGCTGAAGTGGAAAGGCTTCTCAGAGTAAGTGCCTCCCTGCCTGCTGCTGCGGGGTGGGTGCTGGGTGGCTCCGGCGTGAGCATCTCTTCTGCCTTTGGCTCCCGAAGCCTCTCTGGGCAGGTGGCTCAGCCTCCCTGCGCCTCTCCTTCTCTGTAAAATGGAGCTACAGGCCAAGGGCAGTCATAATGATAAAAACGGCGGTGCTAAATGCCTCGAGCTCTAATCAGGGTGATGAGAGCACAGCCTAGGTGAGAAAGTCCCGTTTCTGTCTTGCAAACAGGCTGTGCAGTGCCCTGGTGGGGCTTCCCCCTGTTTTAACCTAGTGTGAAACAAGCAGCCGGATAAAATGAATTGCATTTCTCTCCTGAGAAGGGAAATAACTGCCCTGCCCTCCGGCATCCCTGCCTGGATCAGGGCAGTGTCCTGTTTCATGGGGTGAGGACACCTGCGTCCAGACTGCTGCTTCTCTCAGCATCTCCGCATGACCTGGTGTCCAGGACTTTTCTTGGCAAGGAAAACTGCAGCAAACTGCCCGTATGTAAAACTCAGCTGTTGTCTTTGGTTGCAGTGAAGATAACACATGGGAGCCAGAGGAGAACCTCGACTGCCCAGACCTCATTGCAGAGTTCCTTCAGTCCCAGAAAACCGCACATGAGAGCGAGAAATCTGAGGGAAGCAAACGCAAAGCGGAGTCTGACACAGAGGATAAAGGGGAGGAGAGCAAACCAAAGAAGAAGAAGGAGGAGGTGAGGCAGGGTGGGGTTTCTGTGCTCACCTCCCTGCCACTGCGTTTGGCACAGTGTCTGGTAGCTAGAGCAGCCACTCTCCAAAACCTCAGTCAAACTGTTCTCCTGCACAGAGGAGAAAATACTGCACTTCAATGAAACACAGCTGAAGCGCTTTTGAAAAGCTGTCGCTTTCAGAAGGAGGCATGAGCTGTTGTCTAAGCCAGGCCTCTTCATCAATCCAGAGCCAGTCCTAGCACTAAATTGAAAGGCCAGTTCTCGAACCAAAAAGGTACAGAGCCCCAGCTTCTCCTGAAGAACCACACAAGGGGTGAAACAGGAGGCAGGGGTTGCCTTTTGCCCCTTCAAGAGGGGGAAGGAAGTGGAGCAGAGAGCCTTCTGCTCAGGGTGCTCATAGCTGCTTGGGGAAAGGGACAGTAAAAGGCTCTGCAGTCTGATTTTCATCCCAGGAGCTGCTGAATCTTGGCCAGCACAAGAGTTTGACCAGCAGGGCCTTGGAAATCAGATCCTCTGCTTGCAGCGTGAGCAGGGCACTCCGCCATGCTGCCCGGGGCCCAGCAGGAGGTCACCTCTGTGCAGTGGGTTTACACCTGAGTGGTCATCTCAGTTCCCCACTGGCCTTAGTCATTATAGTCTGAGCATCTGATATGCAGAGCCTTTCTGAACAGCGACCAGTGTGTCCTGGTGACCAGAAACAGGGCTGTGGCTGTCACCCTGTGATGCTACAAGTGGAAACTTGTCTCTTTTCAGTCGGAGAAACCGCGAGGCTTTGCCCGAGGATTTGAGCCAGAGCGAATCATTGGTGCCACGGATTCCAGCGGGGAGCTCATGTTCCTGATGAAGTGGTGAGTGTGTCTTTGTGTCTGTCACTTCTTCACTTATTCTGTGCCAGAGAGGGAAGGACCTGCGCCTGGGGAGTCCCTGCTACCTGGCATGAAATCTCTCGCGATGGCGCTGCCGCCTGAGGTGACCCTCTGCGCTGAGGCTAACGTGGATGTGAAACGAGCAGGTAGGGCCCTTGGGATTGTGTGGCTCTTAAGATGTCCCCCCGCAGCAGGCGCGAGCTTGGGGAGCGAGAGGGGCATGGTGTCATGGCGTGGGCTGCAGTGTCGGAAGGCTGCACCCAGAGGAGAGCCGTGACGATGACTGCGTCCCCTTCGGCTGTAGTGACACAGGGCTTGTCGCTGGCACAGGTGGGAGCCAAACCAGTCAGGCGTAGGTGTGGGAGCCGTTTGCTTTTGCACCGTCTCAGAAGTACGGAGTGGCTGGGGCAGGGCCGCAGCTTTGATTCGGCTTCTCTCCCCATCCCCGACAACCCAGAGCTGAACGCACGCCTGAATTTTTCCTGGGCTCACGTGCTGCTTCTCCCTGCTCCAGAGCCACTCGGGAAGGGGTCACTTGGATCCCCCGAGCAGCTCGGGGTCTCCGTTTACCTGCCGCTTCTAGATTTTGATCCGGTCTCCACTTCTTCCACCTCCCCTCCGCAGCCCCCTAACTTGCACCTCTGCTCTGGCCTGTAGGAAGAACTCTGATGAGGCCGACCTGGTCCCTGCCAAGGAAGCCAACATCAAGTGCCCCCAGGTGGTCATCTCGTTCTATGAGGAGAGGTTGACATGGCATTCCTACCCCTCAGAGGACGATGACAAGAAAGAGGACAAGAACTACCCCCTGGCACCCGCTCTGGCCAGCCTTTGTATAAAGATCTGAACTGTGGGTTTGAGCAAGAGGGAGAGAACGCAGCTCTGCTCGGTTGGGAGCGTAGAGATGGCTGGAGAAGATGCCCTTTGAAGAGACCAGTATGGTTTCTGTGCCCTGCAGCTGCTCAACTGCTTTATGCAGCTTCATGCTGTGTACAGATTCAAACCAGCCCGGCTCAATTTGGGGAGGGAGGGAAGGGCAGGGGGATACTGGGGGGTTTAGGGGGGCCAATTGGGGTGTTTGTTTCAAGGCTGTCTATTTTGCAGCTTGTGGGAGAGGAAGCAAAGCCCCTTCCATGAAGGACTATCACTGGTGATGGGTGGGCTG